TTTTTGAGAAGGGTCTTGTTCTGTCATCCGGGCTAGAGTGCAGTGGTGCTATCTCAGCTCACTGCAAACTCTGCCTCCCGGGTTCAAGCGATTCTCCTGTCTCAGCCTGCCGAGTAGCTGGAATTACAGGTGCCTGCCACCATGCCCAGCTAATTTTTTTGTAGCTTTTAGTAGAGACAGGGTTTCACCATCTTGGCCAGGCTGGTCTTGAACTCGTGACCTCGTGATCCACCCGCCTCAGCCTCCTAAACTGCTGGGATTACAGATGGGAGCCACTGCGCCCAGCCTTACAGCACTATTTTGTAATGCTCACCTTCTCTGAATCATTGTACTTTTTGTGTTTGTGCTGCTGAAACAAGCACAGATCTCTCACCCCTAACTTCAGTCCCCTCATGTGCAGAGTAGAGATAACTGTACCTGTTTTATAGGGTTGTTGGACAACTAGAGACATCTGTGTGTTGTGCCTGGTGTGCCGTGGACACTATATGAACAGCAGCTACACTTTCATTCATTCTCGGTTCGCTAGCCACCAACCACCAACAAACTGCTCTCAGTAACCCCAGACATGCCACACACCTTCACCCCCAGGCCTTTGCTCCTGCACAACCCCCCCAGGCCAGAAAGGTCCTTCCTCCCATTCTACACCTATCAGAACTCCATCTGTCTCCTCTGTGAAACCGTTCCCATTGTCTTGTGGGCCCCAATCCCCAGCTGTCCATCTGATTTACAATGCGTTTTGTTCTGCCTAGAGTGAGGTGTTTGCATAACTGACTCTCAAATCCCCCCTGGTGTTCATCCATCTGTACCTCTCCTCCCACTCTTCACTTTCTGGGAACCAGTATATAATGGTGCCTTTTAGAATAGCTTCAGTGGTCTTATTTAAGTAACACTAGCTCATTATTTTATAAAATGCCAATCAATATGCTAAATTATATAGAGCTAAAAATCATCCAAGGGCCCTCTAACCAGGAAAAAAATAAATGAACTGCTGTGATTCCTCACATCTCTCTATTTGTACTTGGATAGAAGTGTGGAGTATGGAAGGAAGGATATGTGAATGGACAGATGGAGATTGCTTTATAAAATAGCTGTTTTGGATCAGGAGCAGTGGTTCAGGCCTGTAATCCCAACACTTTCAGAGGCCAAGGTGGGAGGATCACTTGAACCTGGGAGGTGGAGTCTGCAGTGAGCTCTGATCACACCACTGCACTCCAGCATGGGTGACAGAATGAAACGCTGCCTCAAAAAAATAATAATAATAAATTTTTTAAGTAAAATAGCTGATTTTATTGTTTTATTTTATAAGGAAAAGGTACACTTCTAATTAAAGTTAGCACTTACATTTCCTCCACGTCTCCCCTAGCTCCCTATTTCTGGTATATTCTTTCTACTTCCTCACATTCTATTCCCTATCCCTCACTGCCCATCCTTTCCCCTACTTAGCTTTGCTTCTCTATTTGAATGGATTAAAAGTTCACCAAACGACCTTTCACTATGCATTCCTAAGTGTGTTTGTTGATTGATCTTTTTCATCCTCAAGTGGGTTTCCCTGAGAAGGGCTGGTCAGTGCTAGATTCCCTCAGTTCTTGCATGTGTGAGGATGTCTGCCTGTCACATACTTGCAAAGTAATTTGAGTGTAAAAGTCTTCAATCCCATTGCCTTTGCCCCAGAACTCTGTAAACAAATAAAACAAAAAAGAGAGAGAGAGAAGGGTTTTGCTATTTCACCCAGCCCGGAGACCAGTGGCACAATCATAGCTCACTGCAGCCTCGAACTCCTGGGCAAGGGATCCTCCCACATCAGTCTTCCAAGTAGCTAAGACTATAGGCATGCACTACCACACCCAGCTAATGATTTTTATTAGGGTCTCGCTATGATGTCCAAGCTGGTCTCAAACTTCTGACCTCAAGTGATCCTCAGGCTTTGGCCTCCCAAAGTGCTGGGATTTTAGGCATGAGTCACCTCACCTGATCTCTGTAAACCTGCTTACTCATGTCTGAGACCAACATGACTTCCCTTAAAGCAGATAATAGTTTGGTATCCTTTACTGAAAGGAAAACAATATCCATGTTTTCCTTTCAGTAATAGAAAGCTTTCTCCAAATCTGAGTTTTAAGAAGGCATATGGCCACTCAGCTGGAGAATTTTTCCTAGAGTTATTTACAGCCAGGTGTATCTATGTGACTAAGTCTTGGCCAATGGAACATAAGCGAAAGTGATGTGTGCCTCCACAGATTCTCCAATTATCCTTTTGCAGGGTCACCTTTGTACAACCTTTAGATCTTCAATTTAAGTGCTTTATCCTTTTTCTCAGCATAAGCTTTGATTTTTCTCAAGCCTTCCTTCTCTGTTAGCAATTTAATTTTCAACAAACTCTATTATGCTTCCTGTTACCTTTTTCTGTAATGATATTGTTTTTATCCTCGATGTCTTTCTTGGCACTGTAACTACCTTTTTTACTTCATTCTGTAGTGTCATCATCTTGTCTTTGGGCTCTGATTAATCAGTTTCAAGAATCTTTATTTTGAATGAATGAATTCCCCATATTGCCTCTCCCACCCAAGAGCCGACTCTAACCCAAGAATTATCTTGGAGGGTGGGGAGAATGGGCAAAAGATGTCCCATTCACCATTAAGTGAGACAATAATTTTGCTCATATGTTATGCCCTCCACCTTCCCAGCTCCTACTCATTCTTAAAGGGACAGCTCAAGGCCCATTTGCCCCACGTTCCTCCAGCCAACTGTGATTGTTCCTGTTCTAGTCCCCAAAGTATTTCTCCAAACTAAAGGATTCGTAGGCAGTACCTGGGCTCCCAATGAACCTGGAGCTTTTGAGAAAAAGGATGAATCTTCTCCCTCTTCGCACATGGTTGGGCACATGAAGATTTTATTTGGAGATTTCTGGATTACTGATTGGCTGGATAAAAAGGAAGGTAAACACTAGAACCAAGGCTCAGAAAAGCTATCAACATCAGATCTACTAGTCCCAATTTAACAAAAAGTTGGATAACACCACGAGGCAGGTGGAAAGAAGAGGATTTGGCAAGAAATGCTGTCCTTGAAAGATTAAGAGAGAGGGAACAATTGTCTTAGCCAGCAAGCCAGACCTTCACAGCCTGCCTCTGCAGGCACTGGAGTGGAGGCTGAGACATGGGCTCTCGAGGCAAGCAGGCCTACGTTCACGTCCACACAGCTCAACACACTCATGGTCTGAGTTTGAGCAAGTCACTGAATCTCCTTCAGCCTTTGTTTCCTCACTTATTAATGTGAGATAATAATAGTGTGTGCCATATAAGGAGATTATGAGAATTCTATTAAATAATGCATGTAATGGTTCCAGCCTCAACTCCCACCACTTTGTGCCTCATGCATTTCTCTCCAGGAATATCAACCTGCTGGAGTTTCCCTGACACATGAATGAGCCAGTCCTCACCCTCAAATCTTTGCTTTGCAGCCTTCCCCCACCCTAAAAATGCCCATTTCCCAGAGGCTAACAGCTCTAAGATGCAGCCTGTGTGTTGCCTCTTTAAGAAATCTTTCCCAAACTCACTGTTTCTTCTTCTCATCATCTGTGCACACCCAAATCATAATATTTATCACACTATATTATAATTAATATATGCATATCTACCTTCAACTAAGCTCTGGAAGGAACAGACCGTGGGGGTTATTTGGACCTACATTCTTCTAAAAACGAGCATTCTAGGCTTGGCGCAGTGACTCACACCTATAATTCCCAGCACTTTGGGAGGCCAAGGCAGGTGGAGCATATGAGGTCAGGAGTTTGAAACCAGCCTGGCCAACATGGAGAAACCTCGCCTCTACTAAAAATATAAAAATTAACTGGGCGTGGTGGCACACACCTGTAATCCCAGCTACTCAGGAGGCTGAGGCAGGAGAATTGCTTGAACCCAGGAGGTGGAGGTTGCAGTGAGCTGAGATCACGCCATTGCACTCTAGCCTGAGCAACAGAGCAAGACTCTGTCTTATAAATAAATAAATAATTTTTTTAAAATTTAAAAAATAAAAAAATAAAATGAGCATTACCTGTGGCCTGCAGCAGGCACTCAATGTTTGTTGAACAAAAGAACCAAGCAAGGACTATGGGAAAAGAGGAAGAGGGTGATACAGGTGATTTGTCTGCCACAATCTCCATGGCTCTGCTACTTAAACTGAATACATGTGTGTGCATATCTACAGTGCATGTTCTTTAGGTAGGTATTCCCAATGCTGAGCATATAAGAGACATGCAACAAATATTTTATGAGCAAATTAATGTTGAATTGTTGAATAAACTCTATAAAAGAAGAAATTGTTTAAGAACCTTGAAGCACAACTATAAGATAAGCCGTTAACAATGCTAATACTGAATTCCATTTACAAACTTAATTCAAGGTAGCCACCAGGCGCGGTGGCGTGTGCCCATAGTCCCAGCTACTCGGGAGGCTGAGGCTGGAGGATCGCTTGAGCCCAGGAGTTCTGGGCTGTGGTATGCTATGCCGATTGGGTGTCCACAGTAAGTTCGGCATCAATATGGTGACGTCCTGGGAGCGGGGGACCACCAGGTTGCCTCAGGAGGGGTGAAGTGGCAGGTCAAAACTCCTGTGCTGATCAGTAGTGGGATAGAGCCTGTGAATAGCCACTGCACTCCAGCCTGGGCAACATAGCAAGACCCCGTCTCTTAAAAAAAACAATTCAAGGTAGCCAAGCAGTGGTGCCTATCAATCTGTGGCCATGCTCACTCATAGTGTGTTTCTTCCCAGTTTTACCTAGATCATGAGTACAGATAGATATCACAGGGCAAGCAAAAAATTTAAAAAAGTACAAACCAGGCTTGACCCAAATAACTCTTATTAAAAAGAAAAAGGAGCAAACGTATGCTGAATCCAAAAGGCATGCTATTCACACAGGACTATCTCATGAGCTCTTTAATATGTTCTTAGAGAAATGGTAGAAAGACTCTGTAAGGACAAATTACTCAGCGAAGTCCCCAGTGAACCAAAAGGACTAACCATTTCTCAGACCCAGAGGACTGGGAATTATTAGCAGTAGAAAAATCTGTACTGCACCCAATCCCAGCTTCACCATTCAGCAGCAGTGAAACTTTATATGAGTTTCTAACCCTTTCTGAAGCTTGGTTTCCTTATTTGCAAAATGGAGCTAATGATACAGAGACAGCAGATCTGGCTATGATGATTGGATAAGAGAACACACATCGTGCCTGATCAGGGCCAGGCACACAGCAAAAGGCCAGAAGACGGTAAATTTTGCCATATTTCCTTCACCAACCTTGGCTAAGTCAAGTCAGAACATTCTTCCTTACTTGCAAGAAAGAAAGGGATCATTCTTAAACATGGTGAGTGCCCTCAATTCCAGCACAGAGGAACTTCGAGAGGTTGTAAAGGCTACAACCTCCCTAAAATTAAAGCTGGAAGCTCAGCATTGTGCTAAGGAAGACTCCATCAAGATGGATGCAGATTTACAAAGACTGTAACGAAAAAAATTCACAGTCATCCTCCTGGGACATGTAGTTCTTTTCCAGTTGCCAGATTTCCTGGTCATCTCAAGTGTATGTGATGTATTTATCCCTGTGGAAATAATTTATGAATATAAGGTCAAAGGGAGCTGAAGCCAAGGACAGAACAGGGAGAGGGTTGCCAAGATCCAAGGGAAACAATGCTTAAGCATCCTTTGATGGCTTCCATCTTATCCCCCCTTTTTAGAGCAGGTGAAAACTGCTTCATTACATTGTCTATAATTTGTCCCATCCCTTCAGTTCTAGTTGGCACCTTTCTGCTTCTTGCCTCATAGTCAGAGACTCTCAAAGCTGGAGGGGGCCTAAATGGGCATTCAGGCCAACCCTCCACAATGCAGAAATCCTCTGATGGCAAACAAGTTTATTTGTAACTTTTGCTTTGATAACTTTATAACAGGGCGGTGGCTTCCTTGTAGCACAGCTTGTTCCATTGTTGGGCAGCTCTGTTAAGTCAGTTCTTGCTTATTTGTCTTCCCGCAACTCTGTGCCCTCTTCACCCACCCCTATATTGCTTCTGTTCTCTGCAGCGCCACTCAGTGTGACTCTAATGAAGTGTGATTTCTTCCACATGAAAAGGATGCCTCTTATTTTTATCTCCTGCAGACTAGAAAGCCCTAGTTTCCACATTTATTCCACCTCCGAGATGCTGTCCTAAGCCACTGTCTTCTGAGTAGCCAATTTCTGGGTGTTACATCATTTTATCATTCTGGAGAGGACCCAGGGAAGCATAACACCCCAAATAGGTTTGAACAACCAGACAAAGTACAGTATAACTGTCACAATTCCTCCTCCAGAGCCTGAGATCGAACACCCATTTTCTTCACTTCTCTCTCCTTCCTCCCTATCAGTTAAGTGCCAGTTCTCCCACGAGGTCCCGATCCTGACCCTGAGAACAGAAGCAAACTTGGAAGGCCCAAGGATGGTGGGAGGGGGAGGAGAAGGTGATGACGCAGCTCAGCTTTTGCACTTGCAGCTGAGGACACCAAACCAGGCAGGCTACCTCCAAAAATAACCTTCCATGCAAACAGCCTCTTGGTAGCTTTCTGAGAGCCCTTCAATTCAGCTTTCCAGAATGCAGGTCTCAGTGTTACTGTGCCCACTCTGTCACCACCCTTTCCAAGACTTGATGGACTAGCTTCATTTAACCCACTGACATTTACAATCATCTTCCCATATGTTTGGGGTCTAAAAACACTTAGAAATATATTTTTATGGGAATACATAAATGTCTATCAACAGAAGATTGGTAAGGAAAACACATTCAAAATATAGAATGCAATGCAGCTATGGAAAAAAAAAAACACTGATATGGGAAGACATCAAATACATATAGTGAAATGAACAAGGCAAGTTTGTAAATGGGCCAGTATAATGCCAGGAGTGTCCAATATTTTGGCTTCCCTAGGCCAAAGAAGAATTGTCCTGGGCCACACATAAAATACACTAACACTAATGATAGCTGATGAGATTAAAGAAAAAAGAAAAAAACTCATAATGTTTTAAGAAAGTTTATGAATTTGTGTTGGGCCGCATTCAAGGCCACCGTGGACTACATTCGGCCCCCAGACCAAACTTGTACAAACCAAATGTGTTGAACAAGTTTGATTGTAATCCATCTACTGCGTTTTAAAAATGTATTTGCACAAACCACAAATACATATATAAATGTGCACAAAAGGGGCTGGAAGAACCGACATCAAACTGCAAACAGTCGTCACTGCAAAGAGAAGTAGAATGAGGGAGGAATGGCGTAAGCTGAGGGGATTAATTTTTTACCCTGTTTGAATATTCCAGAAAAAAAACCATTTCATTTATTATTTATGGGAAGAAACCTCCCAGTCTTACATGCATCTTCCGTTGGATAATCTCAGAGCTGGAAGGAGCTGCACAGGGCTGAGAGTTGATTATCTGAGGTAGCATACCCAGGGTGGCATGCATTTGTTCAGGGTCACACAGCTAGCCAGCAACAGCCAGAGACCCCAAGTCACAGTCCAGGTCTTCACATAATGGGTGTCCCAGTGGATTCAGGAGAGGACTTTGACTTGATTACTAAGTCAGATCGACTTTCCTATTTTATTTGAGTCAAAAATTTTTACTTGGATGTAACAGCAAGTTAAAGGAGACCAAGAATAGTCAAAGTCAGAGGTGGAAAGGGGAACCTACCTTCTTATAGAAGGGGTGTGAGAGAGAGCCTGCTGCTACCAAGGCCTGGGACCTTCTCTAGCTACCACCCACCCCGCCCTCATCCATAAAGCAGAGGGAAGGGGCTAAGAGAGGGGATGGGGATTTGCAGGCATGGGGTGCTCTGTGTGTCACATGCTCATCTGAGCCACCACCACATCTTCAGCATGAGACCGGTGGCAACGCTCCCTGAATGCATTCTGGTGAGGCTGGGTGGCAGTCAGGGACCTTAGCTGCATATGGAAACTCTGCCTCTCTGGAAAGGAAGGCTGGGCTCGAGTCCGATTTAGGTGCAACTCATATTGAGCCACTTGAACTGTCACATGGATTACCTCATTTAACACTCACAAAATGTTTACAAGCATGCTCCAAGAAATTCAAAAGTCACTTTCTAAAAACACAACCATTAAAGGGCAGGGCTCTTATTTGAAATCAGGTTTCTTGACTCTGAATTCAGTGGTCCTTCCACGCTGTCTCTTTGGGACACTGCAAGGCCTCCTTACTTGAGCAGTAAAGCTTACGACATGCCCGGGTTGGAGGCTGGGCATGGTGGCTCACGTCTGTAATCCCAGCTCTTTGGGAGGCCAAGGTATGAGGATCATTAGAGCCCAGGAATTCAAGTCTGGGCAACATGGAGAGACACCCATCTGTACAACAAATAAAATTAACTGGGTGTGGTGGTGCATGCCCGTAGTCCCAGCTGCTCAGGAGGCTGAGGAAGGAGAATCACTGGTGCCTGAGAGGTCAGAGACTGTAGTGAGTCATGATCATCCTACCGCACTCCAGGCTGGGTGACAGTGTGAGACCAGGTCTCAAAAAAAAAAGAGGTTCCTAGGTTGACTCTCTGTCTGTTCCCTAACTCCCAATCTCCCCCCCACCAACACACACACATACATACACACACACACAGTCCCATGACCATGACAGCAGAGACAGGCTCCTAGCCAGCACAACTCAATGCTTCAAATATGCATCACGTGACTGAAATATCTGTGGCTTAGCTGATAAGATGTCTGAGATGTGCTTCCATGTAATCTGGGGTTGAGGACGGCGTTACAATCAACCACGAGTTTCGGCAACAGTTGAAGCTAGGTGATATGATACAGGGCTCCTTACACTCTTCTTTGTACTTTTGTACGTTTCAAATTTTCCATAATAAAAAATGCTTTTTTTTTTGATGTATCATGTGAGTGATCATTTCTCCCTCAACTTGTCACTTAGTGGGGGTTTCCATTTTAATTACCTTTCTGCTTCCCTCAGCACAGAAAGCCAAACAATAGCCTGCTATCACGACAAGAAAAAATACCAGGAGCAAAAGTGTGTGGCTTGTGAAAACCCCAATTATAACAACAACAGCCATTGCTTAACTGAGTGCCATATACCTGGAACTGTACTGAGCCTTTTACCTATGATTTCATCTAATGCTCATGATTGCCCTATGAAATAAGGTCTGTTATCCCCATTTTACAGAGAAGGAAATTGAAGTTTAGTAAGCTTAAGTAGCTTGTCCAAGTCTATATAGGTGATACATAATGAGCAAGAATGCAAATCCAGAATTGCTTATGCTATTAATTTTTCCCATTCCCACAATATATATTTGGCTACTTTAAGACTTTATAGATACTTTACGATTTTATAGATAATCGAACTCAATCTGTAAGTTTTTAAAGTGGTCATACCTTTTAAAGTATAAAGAGCCCCTGTCTCTTCACAAATATTCTAATCACAGTGTCAATTACAATAATTGAAAGCTAGATGTGGTTGGCTGTCCAGTGTGGCCTCACGCGGGAAGTCTTTCCCACTGCTCCTGTCATTGGTGACACCCTGCTCATGGTCACACAGCATCCTGCACTAATCTCTCATTACCCCCGCCTCCTCCTTTGAACTATGATCTTCTAAAAAACTAAGTTCTTCCTATTTGTCTTTGGTTTAGAGTGGGCACTCAACTATGTGGTGAATAAATTAATAAATGATCCTGTAGTTGCTCATTTAACCCATGCAGACATTGAAGACTGGGTACTAAAGCGAAGTTTTTGAAGGTCACAAGGGTGGACTAGAACTTAAAGCCCCATACAGGGCTCCTCTCCCTCCACTGTACTGCCAGTACCTGCAGACTTCTAAAGAACTGATGGCTGATGGCTGAACACTTGAGGCAAGGGTAGGAAAGCCAGGGGCAGTTGGAGTCTCCTTCCTTTACAGGCCCTCACTGAAATCATCAGATCCCAGGGGCCCATGTGACCTTGGGGATGCCAAACAGCTGATATGGGTGACAAATGAAAGAGAACAGCTTTAATGCAATGTTAACCATGAAATGCATATATGGGAAGTTTAAGCAAGAAGGCAAGAGACTAACCATGCATACAGTATGCTCTCAACCACTTACAAAAAATAAATTCATTTTAAAAAAGAAGAAAAATTGCCAACGGTTAAGAGGGGTTGTCTTTGGATAGCAGATTTTTTTTCTGTTTCTCTATGCTTTTTTGCACAGTACTTTCCAAATTATCCTGATTGGTCAAGCTTTTTTTTCTTTTTTCTTTTTTTTTTTAAGACTGAGTATTGCTCTGTCACCCAGGCTGGAATGCAGTGGTGCAATCTTGGCTCACTGCAACCTTCGCCACCTGGGTTCAAGTGATTCTCCTGCCTCAGCCTCCAGAGTAGCTGAGATTACAGGCATGCACCACCACACCCAGCTAATTTTTGTATTTTTAGTAGAGATGGGGTTTCACCACGTTGGCCAGGATGGTCTCGATCTCCTGACCTCAGGTGATCCGCCCGCCTCGGCCTCCCAAAGTGCTGGGATTACAGGTGTGAACCACTGTGCCCTGCCCTAGCTTTATTTTTATAATCAGAACAATAAATAAGATTTAATTCACTACAATGATTTTGATGGCAAACTTGACCTTTCTAGTATAATAATTACTTAGAAAATCATCTCAGTATTTTAATATGGTGAAACTGTACCAATGTTACTGTTAGATATAAGCCTATTCAAGAGAACATCCATAGGAGCCAGAATGCCATCGTAGTTTTCTGCAGACAAGCAAGAAAAAAATCATTTGCTTCTAATTCAGTTCTTACAGAACAAGTCACTGATACTATATCTGAACAATTAACTCCTTGTCCAAATTCTCAGGACTCTAATGGTCCAGAACAATTGCTGTGAATTTCACTAATGAATTATTCCTGTATTTTTTTAATGCAACCATGTCCCATATTTACGGAGAGCCAGATTTTCTCTGAAGTCTTCCCTCTTCTACTCTGTCATTTACCACCTGCTCTTGCCTTTATTCATGAAGACAAGGGGACCCCAGAGGTCAATACTGAGATAAATTAGATCATTTTTTTCAGGCCCCTGAGGGCAATTTCTAAGGGAGAGCCAAAAGTGTTTTAAGCAAGGGTGGTGGAGCTTGGCTGGGCGTCCCTCGGGCAGCGAATGGGTCTCCCTGCTCTTTGTAATCCCAGGCTAAGCACAAGACACCCTCCACCCCACCACCTGTTTGTCAATAAATACAGAATACATAAATACAGTGACTTGAGATTTTACTCACTTATGTTTGAAGGTTCTGGTTCTATTAATTTTTTTTTTAACAAGTTCTAGTCACCTTAGAGTCACACAAACTTCACAACTATTCAAAGCCTCCCTTGATAGTTTGGCAGGCCTTGCTTTACATCTCTTTGTGACAGGTGAGGTCTTCTAGCCTGAGCACATAAACTTACCCTATGGGGACATTCTCCCACTGTCACTCTCCGCCACTCTGAAGCTGGTCTCACACCAGTCAGAACAGATATTATTAAAAAGTCAAAAAGTAACAGATGCTGGCAAGGTTGCAGAGAAAAGGCAATATGGATACACTGTTGGTGGGAGTGTAAATTAGTTCAACCATTGTAGAAAGCAGTGTGGGGATTCCTCAAAAAACTAAAAACAGGAACTACCAGTGACCCAGCAATCCCATTACTTGGTAAATACCCAAAGGAATATAAATGGTTCTACCATAAAGACACATACACGCATATGTTCATTGCAGCACTATTCACAACAGCAAAGACCTAAATGCCCACCCACAACAGACTAGATGAAGAAAATGTGGTACACATACACCATGAAATACTATGCAGCCATAAAAAAGATCATATCTTCTGCAAGAACATGGGTAAAGCTGGAGGTCATTATCCTTAACAAACTAATGCAGGAGCAGAAAACCAAATACCACATGTTCTCACTTATAAGTGGGAGCTAAATAATGAAAACACATAGACACAAAGAGGAGAACAACAGACACCAGGGCCTTCTTGAGGGCCACCAGGGCCTTCTTGAGGGCGGAGGGTGGGAGGAAGAAAGGGAGCAGGGGAAGTAATTATTGGGTCCTAGGTTTAATACCGGGGTGACTAAATAATCTGTACACCAAACCCCCATGACACAAGTCTACCTATATAACAAACCTGCACATGTACCCCCGAACCCAAAATAAAAGGTTTAAAAAGTAAAGTCTTTTAAAAGCTGGTGAGCACTCAAGCCTGCCAAGAAGTCTGACCAGTCATAAGCACATGTCACGTGACTTAACGCCCCCAGCACCCCAGAGATTCACACACCTTACCCCCCTCACTTTACACAATGCAGAGGCGCCTGCTGGGATTTTGTTGTTGTTGTTTCTGTTGTTTTTGTTGTTTTCTGTTTTTGAGGCAGGGTCTTGCTCTGTCACCCAGGCTGGAGTGCAGTGGCATGATCTTGGCTCACTGCAACCTCCACCTCCCGGGCTCCAGCAATTCTCCTGTCTCAGCCTCCCAAGTAGCTCAGACCAGAGGTACATGCCACCACGCACAGCTAATTTTGTTCTTTGATTTTTCATAGAGATGGTGGTGGCGGGAGATGATCTCACTATGTTGCCCAGTCTGGTCTCAAACTCGTGAGCTCAAGGAGGTTGAACACTTCCCACCTTGGCCTCCTGAACTGCTGGGATTATTGAGTGAGCCACCGCACCCAGCCCAGCCTGCTGGTTTTAAAGTAACTCAGGAGAGAGGAAGATGACCCCAAAACCCTCCTATTTAGGTCTTTTAGCAAAGACCTAAATACTCATCAACAATAGACTAGATAAAGAAAATGTGGTACGTATACACCATGGAATACTATGCAGCCATAAAAAGACCATATCTTCTGCAAGAGAGGAAGATGGCCCAAAACCCCACGCCCCATTTAGGTGCCTCTAAAGCCTAGGTATCTTCCACTCCACTGAAACAGCCTGTAAAGAGATTGGGCAGGGAGGACTCTCACTGTACAAAGGAGGAAACCGGAGCCCAAGAGGTTAAGTATCGTGAACAGCTAAGTGGAGCCTCTCTCTTCTGTCTTCTCACTGCCTCTTGCCTTATGATTTCACACAAAGCAGACCCCTAATGGGGAAGCATAAGAGAGATATGGAAGAACCCAGCACAAGAGTAAAGTAAACCATTTAGCAAACACTAAAGAAAGCTGATCCCCAACGATAACTGCGATATTCACCATACCTACCACTGGGATCCCTGGCTTTGCTTAATAACCAAACCTACTTAAATCCATAAGGAATTGGTTCTCTGACTTAAAGCGTGTTGTTATAACAACCCTAACTTTGACTTTTCTCTGGAGTACCAACCACAACTGATTTGATGCAACCATTTCCTTTTTATGCAAAAAGGGGCATTAAAAGTAGACCGTGCATTGCTGTGTATCATTGGGCAAGTAATTTCTCTTCTCTAGGCCTCAGTTTTCCCATCTGAAAAGTAAAAGGATCCAGTCAGATGATCTCTGAAGTTCCTTATAGGGTCAGTGTCCTGATGAGAAAACTATACTGCAGTGCCAAGTAGAATTGACGTAGGATTTTTCTTCTTGGTCTCCTGGCCAGTGACGCCCCACCTGTGCCTTGCTCGGCCATGCTGGTGTGCCTCAGCTCACCTGTGTTATAGCTTGTACCTGAATTCCGAGCTCTTGTACCATAGCAAAGAATAATGAGGATACGCTGGACATTTAAGGGTGAGGAGGGCAGAGAATAATTTTATTGAGTGATGAAAACAGCTTTCAGCAGAGAGGGGACCTGGTATTGGTCCCCTACTTGAAGACAGGAAAGTTCCCCAGTGTGGCTGGATCGGGGGCCTTTTAAGGACTCAGAATGGAGAGCACAGGCTGACCGGTTTGTGAGTATGCAAAAAAAGATTAAAGCGAAGACACCACTTAAGGGTGGGCACGGCAGTGTAGAAAACCAATTAGGAAAAAGGGCAGGCATATGTAAAATAGGTGAAAGGTAGGGATCAGTAAGGGGAAGGCACACCAAACAAGAAGATGAGTTCTCAGTCTGGTCCGAGGATTTAACTTGCAGCTTGGTTTTCAGGCTTTAAACTGTCTTTGGCCTAGAGGTGGGGATTTCACTGGGTATCTGCCCCTAACTGCCTAGGCATTTGGCTGCCTCCTGTTGCTATCAGAATCATCGTGAAAGTGAAACACCCTGGAAACTCTAAGGAAAAGAAACAAGTGTAACTAGGAGATAACAGGAACAGTGCAAAACAACATGTTAACTTTGGGGAAACCCGGCTTCTCAGGGTGTTTTTGGTTTTCCTACTTCTCTGCCAAATACAAAAATAAGCAGCTACTTCCATGGGACGCTCATAAAAAAAAATTAAATAAAATCAATGAAAACAATGCTTTTCCACGAGTGGCTCAGGAGTAGCTTGCTAAGAGACACTTTCCTCCCAGTGGGGCTGATGTCAACAGCCCATGCTTTTGCCCAAACAAAGGCCTCCTGGCACAGGGATGAGAGGCAAAACATCAGAGTCTCCATACTTGGCCTTATTCCAATTTGAGGGGAAGGGGCAGCCAGGAGAGAAAAATAACTAAGCTTTTGAAAGGCTAGAAGGAAAGTAAGGAATTACTAGATCTATTTTTTCTCAACAGAATAAAGAACTCTTGAAAGGGATAATGGAAGGGTGCAGCTTTCGATTTGAATTACTCTCTTTGTTTAACTCTGTTCTGCCTAAGGCTATTGCGTTTTCAGCCAACCACAGAATCCTGGTTTTGCCTTGAGTCGCCGGCCGGGTGATGCAGTGTGGGAGTTGGGAGACCCACACTCTGTGGCCCGTTTCACCCGGTTTAAACTTGGACAGGTGGCTGAACTCTACGGCACCAGCTTCCTGCCTGTAAAATAAGAAGGTTCCCTAGATGCTCTCTAGACCTTTTCAATAACAGTGGAATAGGGTTGGAGGCTCTCCAGCTCCCCTCGGGACAGGTTAATCTTCAGCCACGCTAGCCAAGGTGAGGCAGCAGCCCACCTGCCTCGCAGGCACACACTCAGGCCACAGGGCCTCGGTTCCTGCGCCACTGCACACCCACAACCTGACCAACACCAACGCCTCGGAGACCAATTCACCCCCAAACCATCTCCCTGCTGCAGATCGTGTCTGATTAAGTAACATCTCCAAAGCTGAGCTGAGCATATGTAAGCAAAGAGAAAGCAAAACAAACAAGAGTCCTCTCTTTCCGGACCTCGGAATTTCTTTCAAATAAACTCAGAACTGAACATTGTACGTACCCAGCTAGATCACCAGGTCTCAGCTGGCCTTGCTTGTGAAAATGCCTAACAAGCCAACAGGGGCTGGTGACAT